TGATGCTGCTGTGTCAGAAATCCAGCACCCACAAGACAGTGCAGTGGCAGTTCCATGGGGTTACAGTACAAGGCCATTGGCAGCATGGTAATAGCAACAACAAGGAGCTAGTGATGTAGATTGATGGTACTTCTGCAAAGTGATGCTACAGAAGGCATAAAGGTGATGGAGAATTGGGACTCAGTTCCTTTTACCGCCTCTGCATTGCTCTTAATGCACAGAGGTACTGGAGAAGGTTGTTCCAAGACTAGTATTTCTTCCTCTCGTTCTCAAATGCAATACAAGGGTCTGGGAAAAGAAGAAAAAAATGAGGGAAAGAATCAATGCGGAAAGAAAATGGAGGTTTCGATTGAAAGTCACAGAGAGTTTGCACTCTGCAAGTCTTGCCTTTTGCCAGCACCACTAGGACATATCATTGTTCATATGTTATTGTTCATATGGTGAATGTAAGGAGTAGCCATCCGTGACAGACAGCAATTTTACTATATAAAAATAAGTATCCCAATTGGGGGATTTGTTAGTCATTGTTCAGGAATCAGATTTGATGGTTTGCCGCAGATTTAAATTTACTCCTGTTCCACCCATAGCTCTTCCATGATCCAAGAGATATTGAAAATTGACCAACAAATGGGTTCATACAAAGTAAAGACATCAGTTTTGCAGGGTGGAAGGGGGAGAAATTCAGTCTGGGCCCTTATATCTTCTCCTAAAACCAGAAGACTGTCAACTGCTGTTACCATACAAGAGGTTAAAAAGGAAAGGACAAGGTTGAACAACATCAAGAAACAAAGATCTTGTATTTCAGACAGGTGCTCTACAGTTCCTTCAGTTTGTTTATGTATTTTTCTATAATCTTCAACTCAAATACATTGCTTGCTTTGTTTGCATAATCTTAGCTTTACTGGTTTCTATGTATTAAAACTAGTTGGGAGGAAAATTTAAATATATTGAGCAAATAATATGTATTTCATGCCTAAAATTCTTTTGAAGCAAAAAATATGTCATGGATTTGCTAAATTGGGGCTCTCATCAAGCTCAAATCAAACACTTTATTCACATGGGTTTTGCCATACTGTTTCTAAAAAGAGCAGGAAATGACATACTCAAACTTTTCAACATCTGATAGTAATGGTTTAGAGAGCAGACTCGATAAAGTTTGCATTCTAGCTCCCATTTGGCACCTTACAGCACACACAAGCTTGCCTTTATAATGAACTTCAGGAATGGAAGAGTTACAAGTCTGTCGTCACAACCAGCAACCAGGAGGATGCAAAAGAATCAGCCTGTCATTTTAGTGATGCTAGGCAGGTATATACTGTAAACAAGGTTTGCTTTTTGAAATATTCACATATGTCACTGCTTCTAGCAGCAACCACTATTCTCAAGACAAGTGTGGAATCTCCTCTTTTATCACCTCTGTCTTCCTGCCAGTCATAAGCAGGATCTGAATTCAATTTCACGTTCTCAACAGATTACTTACTGGCAACTAGAGTGAAAAATGGGAAATTCTACAGATTTACAATTTTGTTAAACAGCTACACAAACATTTTCAGATGTTTAACTTTTATAGGAGTGGATGGGATCGTACATTAAGTATCTCTATATGTGGACATGGTTTGTAATCTTGAAATTGCAAGCTGCATGGATATATGCTTTAATTGGATTGATGAACATTAAATCTGAGGAATCATGACAGCAGCAGGAGTTTACACTTCTGCATATAACCTAGCTATGGTATGCTCCATGCGTCATCACATGCATGTGTCCCCAGTGCCAAGATTTCATGACACAGCAAATGAGTTCAGTCTGAAATATTTGGAAACAGACAGAGAACTGGGGTGACAGGGGGATGAACGTGACATGGAGAGGACACGTACATGACAGCTCTCTTCGAAAGCCACTGTTAGTGCAGGGGTGCCAACATTTGGAAATATACTTACGTCTTGCCAGTTCAGCTAGCAGGGGAGTTGTGGGAACATAGGTTGCGTGATAGAAGGGGAACACCCACACATGACAAGATGTTGTGCTACACCTCTCGCAGCAGCTTGAATTTTTATCTCTTTCTGCTGTCTGATTTGAAGAACAGGTGGCAGTCATCTCCAGAGGAGTACTATGAAACTTGTATCCATATATGCTTTTTCTGAGGGGAAAGGAGTTATTAAGTCAGAGAGACAAGGAGAACTTAGATGAATGGTCTCAATTTAGTGACCTTCCTTGGAAACAGGACACTTCTTTACAACCGGAAGAGCAATTAGGAGTTTTCTGCAGAAGTTGCTACAACTGCTTCAAAATAGTTTTAATTTGGAGAACTGATAGCATCATCTGCCTCACTTCTACTAATCAGCAAGCCCCAGAGGCAGAAAAGCTACAGTCTCCCTCTCTGGACTGTGTGTGTGCCAGCCAGCAGCATGGTGCTGCTCCTGGCTGATGCAGGCTCCTGGACCACAGTGGTATGGGTATACTCTCACTGCAGAGCACACATACCTGGCTCCAGGCCTGGAGGAGCTCCTACAAGATGCCCAGACAGAGATCTAAAAACATGTAACAAAGGAGTGCTGGTACAGTTGGTAACTCTCTCAGCCATGATTGAGAGCCTGGAGTAAAATTTTAGTGGAGTAGTAGTACAGAACCTTAAGGGAAACGTGGCATAATAAAGACTGCGTGCTGTGTCAGTGCCCCCTGCTCTTTCTGCAGAACGAAATTAGCTTCCATTGCAGCCAGCAAGCCAAATTCAGTGAGAAGAACCTACAGCACTGATCTTACAGGTGGAAACTACAGGCTGAAGTCATCATTCTCACAGGAGCTGAAGACCCCAATAATAGCATATGGTGCACTGGACCGCAGACATCTGACTCCCACTTGCTGCCCAGCCAGCCTACACAGGGCTGTAGGAAGGACTTTAGTTAGCTGCTTGTTTTCCTCGCCAGATGGAGATTAAATGACAGCAACATACCACCATCCAAACATGGATACTGCTGGGTAGAAACTTGACCATCATCCTCAAGTTTAATCATTTGCAATCAAGTGGCATCCTCATTTGCCATTTTCAAGAGCAGCTCATATGTCTCTCTGTTGTGCTGGGAAGAACAGCTCAGTTTCTCTATTCCACTGGGCTGAGCACGGCAGGCAGGAACAATGAGCCTGCAAGATGCCTCTTCTGTAAGTATACTACCTTTCTCCAGCACCACACTATGTTAGTCAGTAGCAACTGAAGAATAAAGTCAGGTTTCTTTCCTTCCTAACCTTGCTTTCCTGACCTTAAACATGTGAAATCTGCTCCTTTTTCCTTTGAGGCTGCTGGAAGCTTTCAGGAATCAGTGATTTCTCTGACACAGATCTTGCTAAGAAAGGAGTCCTAGACAAACATATGGTAATATCTAAAGACGAGTAAACTACTCCCAGTAAAATATCAAGTGGAAACATTTACATATTATAAGAAGAAGCAATGTTTCAGAGGCCAGGACAAGCACTTTTTCCATGCATAAATTGACATTCAACAACTCCTAGTTGAAATACTACAAATGTGCTTATTTAAAACACATATTAAAGTGCATGAGAAAGTAGCATTAGAAAAAATAGTCACCAAGAACAGTTGAAACATTTGTCCACTACAGAATAGGCAGGTAAAGGAAAAAATGGCTGAAATTAGTTGTAAGTAAAAAAAAACCACAGCAAAAACTATACAAAACTTTTCTATAGTTCCTATCAGCATAGGATGTATGGTTCTTTAAAAAAAAGGGTCATCTTTCTTTGATTGCCTTACTCTCAAAGTACTCCTTGGCCGCTCAATTTTTGCTAAGGCAATTAGACTTTCTGAATTAATTCTTCTTTTCCCATTGTGGGGAAAGTTTAAACCTCTTAAAATCTTGCCTAAAGTCTTTTACATGACAAAGGCAGTCTCATAACCCTTCTTAAACTTAGGCCCAGCTGAGAGTTTAAATTCAGCATAGAATTATTTGAAATTTGTACTAAAGAAAAAAGAAAGCAAGGTTTTCACAGAAAGTCAGTTCAGAAATTCATATTTTAGGAAAATTATATATATATGGATTATATATCATATATATCCAGAACATGGATAAAATCACTCTCTGGGAGACTGATCTTAAAAAAAATAATCCCCCCAAAAAAGAGAAGACACAGATATGCAGAATAATTATTTAAAAAAAAGGTTCAGAGTGAACTGTTCCTGATACCTTTATCAAAAAGCAAAATAAAAATTAAGAACTAATTCCACAGTCATTCTGATGGAGAGGGAAGAGGTGGAGGAAACAGAGAGAATCCTTACTAAACGAGTGACAATCAGCAGGTATCCATTTATTTGGCTAAAGCAGCACAGTGTGCCAAAAGCACTACTAGTACCTTTTGCATTGTACTGCCTCTTTTTGCCTCTTACTTCAAATTATTTTCCTCAAAACTGGTATGAAAGAGTTTCTTTTCTTCTCTAGTGGTTCCAGCAGAATTTAAAACATCTGACTGGCATAAGCTATCTCCACAAAAGAGAAGATAAACAGCAAAGACTCCGAAAATGCACTCTTTTGGAAATATGTCTCCTTCAGAAAATTGATATACTTGTCTACACTCTCTTCTGAAAGGAAAAGTTGCACATACTGGAATTTAGGTCTTCAGGGACCGTGCTCAGACAAAGGGCCTTATGATAACGTGAAGTGCTATGTGTGCTTGGGATGTGTTGGAAACACTATCCACAGCAGGTGGCAGAAAAATACCTCCTTGGAAATGACAGAAGACACCAATTACTTTCAGTTTAAAGATTAAAATACAGACATTTGCATGGTGTTACACATCACTAGTCAACTCCTCCACGTCATTAGTCCTTCCACTGACTTCAAAGCAGAATAAATCTCTTTCATGGAGAAGCATACTTTCATTAGTGCCATAGTGAGAAGGACTAACACCCTCCTTCCTCCTCCCATCCTGTCATTCCCATTCCCCACTAAACAGAAAACTAAATCTCAAATCAGCTTTTCCTTTCTCTTGCACAGGTGCTCAAGAAAGGTCTCAAAGAATAGCTGTTTAGGAAACAGGAGGAGAGAGTAGATTTTGAAAGCATGGAAGAACCCTACTGTGAGCTTCTTTCATGATGGATCCAGGGCTGTATTTACAACAAGAAAATTAATATAATCCTGAAAAATAAAATGCTCATTTTCAGTACCTCACCTCTTGGTCGCATATGGAACTTCAATAACTGTATGTGTACTACAGTATAATTAACAATTCCATTACACTTATTACACAACTTCTGTATGTAGCTTAGAGACTCATTTCAAGGATAAAGTCTACAGTGCTCAAAAGCTGGTGACCCAAAAAGCAAGCTTTGAGCAAAACAGTAATTTGGTATCTGCATGCGTCTGTACATGAGGTCACTATAAACAATTTTACTAAGTTTGACAGACACCAAGAGTGGTTCCTGAATCATATTTTCCCCTTTTCTTCTCACTTTAGCCCATTAGGAAATCCATTTTTCCTCTTATCCGGTGCATAGTGGGAGGGGGCAAAGAAACATAAAAGCAACAGTCTCATACTTCTTCAAAAGCATTTGGAAAAATGGGGGCTGGAGTGCAGGAAAATAGTTAGCTTGTTAAGGCTGTCCAAAGCATCAATACCCCAGTCTTCCCCATTTGTACATATAAATACTGCATTTTACATTTGAAACAACCTCCTGGTTGTTTTGGCCTGACATGGAAATTACTAGAAGCCAGTATTTCTTTTATTTAAACTTTATCCTTTAGAGGCAGGCTAGTTCAGTTCCAGTGTCACCACCACTACTTCCACAAAATGCTGAAGATTATTTTATATGAAATGCTTACTAGATTGAAATTACACCCTCAAGTCATTTCATAAGCAAACAAGAGAATTAGGGAGTGAAAACAGCATGGAAAGGAAAAAGGTTGTAATTGCAGAAGATAGGCAACATAACCTCGCTTGTACACACTTCAGGTTTGATAGACGTTTCTCCTAGAACTGTATTTAGATGTATTTTAGGCTTGAAATAACAGCTTCAGCTACTTACTCTCTATAGTTACAGCAATCTCTAAGACAGGACTTAAATATTAATGAATAGAAATGGTTATTCCACCACTCAGGCTCCCCCCCTTAATTCTCACAGCAAGGTCTCTTGGACAGATTTCTGTAAAATTCAGCCAACCTATACCTTTGATCAGCAAATCAATCTGACACAGAAAGAACCATTGGTAATCAAAAGCTAGGGAGAAAGCAGTTTGACAGAAAATGTGTTTGTACATTAGGAGCAAGGGATCGTGTAGAGATTTGAATGAATCAGTATTTGCACTTGAGACAGGCTATTTCAGACCAACTATTTAATTGTGCTTTTGCTTAAACCTAAGATAAAACATTAAATGCCATGTTTGGAAAAAATCACTTACCTTTTAATAATATCTTTTTCCTCATTATCTTCTTGACATACAGGCACCTATCAAACTATTTTATCAAATCTGTCACAAGTTTTACTCACAGACAGATCAACTAAAGGTTTAGCATCTGTTGGTATTTTTTCCTGACAATTGCTTCAGTAGAGTAATTGCCCATAGACAGGAGTATAGAAACTTTTTATTTGACTTTTTCAAATACAGTAAGTTATCACAGTATAACTTGGGGCCACAGGAATGTGAGACCACGTAAGGGATAAAAGAGGGAAGATTACAGTTAAAGGTTCACTGTTTTAAGTGTAATACTACTTAAGAGTAAAGATTTAGGAGATTTCCAAATTTTATCAGTGAGCAGTAGGATCTACAGAAAGGGAATATTTCTATCATTTAGCAACATTTCTAAGTATTAGGTGAAGGAGGAACTATGAATACTTTTATTTAGCTCTCGAAAGACTTGATTTTAGTAACAGGACAGATATTAACGTATGAATTATATGACTTTATACACATCATAATGTAACCTGCTATTAAAAGTTTAGTCTGCTTTCTCCTCACTCCTCAGCTTAAAAAAACAAAAGGAACATAAAAGAAAACTAATAATGGTGTTTGTCTCTACTGAGGAAAGTATAATGAAGTTACATTCTCCTTTATATATCAAGATTTTAGATAGGGCTAGAAGTGCTCCAGGCCAGCTCTGAAACATATGGAAAACACAATTTCAGCCTTTGTATGAAGACAGAAAGCAGAATAATAAGTTCTTAAAGAAATAATGCAAAAGAATGGAGACATAAAGGACTGACATGAACGTTGAAGGAATAATTCATTTGTTTAGTGCCAGACCATCAGATAATATTGATTATTTGGAGTCCTATTTTTAAAGGCTGTGAGGTGGGAGTTTTTAGCAATTTCACTTTTTTGCTGTCTTGCTTCTCTTATTTTAGTGCAATAAAAAACTACAAAACTGTTTATAAGTGCTATGCAGCAGGAATACGTAGTAGGCATCCAAGTTCCCACAGCTGGCTCAAGTATCTAACTCATCTCAGTAGCTGACAGCATTTATGTAGAAGGACCCATTTGGGAGAGCCTTCCCGGTCTCCATTTACTTTGGGCAGTGCTTTATAAGAACATAGTTCAGGAAAATAGCTCATCATCTGCAAATAGCCGCTCCATAGTGAAAAATGCAGAAGCACAAACTGAACAGCAGCAGATGAGGAAATAAGAACCAGTGAATACACTTTTTCATGGTTTATCTTCTACCACCTCATTCCTGCTTGGAATAGGGCAAAGGCATCTCTTACATTTACAGAGATCTAACTTAGTGGAGCTTGGTGCAAATTTAACCATAGATTTCATATTAATTCATACCACACCATATTCATAATTCATATGCAATTATAACAAAGATATGAATTATAGCATACAGATTAATATATTATGTGTTATGTATTATTCTAATTCATACAATACCATATATTTCTTATTAATTTCGTAATAATTCAAAACTGAATATTTATATCTGGGATTTTTAATTAAAAAATACTATTCTGAGAACCTAGCTACCCAGTATATGTTTAGCTACTTAATTCCTCTTGAATTCAGTGGTGTGCATTTTCATATTTCAGAGCTCTTGAAAACAGTCATTATCCAGTGAATCCCTACAGACTTCAGAGAGGGTAGATATATAGGAAGCAAATATTCAGGAGTCCTGTCAGTAGGAGATACTGTTTCCATAAGCAACAGGCATGGAGAAAGATTGTTAGTCTGGATAATAATCATACTATCTAAAATACCACACAATTAGCTGCCCAAAATTTACAATATAAGATGTTATTCTTCTCTTTTAACAGCATTCCCACATTTCACTGCTGTTGCAAGTTGCTAGATAACTCCATTCTCCATATTTATTACGGGTTTGTTGTCCTAGGTTATCTGCCAGGGACCTGGTACACAGGGATTCGCTCATCAGTGACTTACTGATGAGCTACTTTTCATAGAATCATAAAGGCATTTACATTCATACACATTTCTTTCCTACAGAGCAAAGCACAACTGATGATGAAGGATCCAGAGGATGGAACCTGTGGGTGATAAGAATGGCTGCTCACTCCACCAAGGTGCGCCAGTTCCCCAAGCCAAGCATTTCCAAGATCAGCTGTAACCAGAAAAGTAACAAATGCCCACACTAACAACCAGAGAAAACCTCAACTATTTTCCAGGATTCATCTAACTGCATAGCAAATAAATTTCACAGGTTGATATCTCAAAATGATCATGTCAACAGTGAGACTTAATTCCCATTGCACACTAAGCAGCATCAAGATCCTGAGAGGGAAACATATGAGAAGCTTAATTTTTAGCCATACAGATCAACAGTTCTCCACAACAGGAGCGGAGTGGCATTTTACAGCTTTCAGGGCCGTCAATGAAGCACAACCTCTTTCACCTAAATTCACCATAAGATTCATGAAACAAACACTTCCAGTGTTTGCTGGCAGCTGAGCATCAGGCATCAGAGCAGCTCTGGTACCTGGGATTTTTATACCCCCTCTGCAGATCCAGTACCAAGAATGAATGCAGAACAGTCACAGCGCACTGAAAGCAGAGGTTCTCATATACCTGCGAGACAATGCTGGAGACTGTGCCTTGACTCTAGCCCCAACCCAGGAGGCATCTAGCAAAAAAGTTCCAGTAGAAATATAGAGAAAAAAATTCTATGCAGAACTTGAATGCCCAAATTCTTTGGGGAGGTAAAAAAGAGGTCTTACCCAATATAGACTTGTGTAGTGAACTAGCATGGAAAGGCAACCAAGATCAAGTTCTTTGCCTCAGAAGAGATAACAAAGGGGAGTTTCAGCCCTGTCTAGGTGCTTTTGCTACCTAGCCACAAGCAGCACTCCTTACATCAGCCTAAGCAGGTAAGATCTGTGCTGCAATTCTTATTACTCATCTGAGGGCTTTAAGTATGTAAGGAAATGATGATTTTCACTCTTTTGTGCACAAAATTAATATTAGTAGATTCCAAGCCTTTTTTCCCCATAAATATCCCATTTCCTACAATTCGGCGCTCTTTCATGCTATTTGGAAACTTTAAATGTTTTTTGGCAGAGCAGATAATTAATCTAGATCTTTCCATACTCTAGGTCATTCATCTAACTGCTGGTTTCAGATCACCTCTGGTCCTGGTCCACTGAAGCACTTTGTATGAAGTGATTTCACCCTTGTATTACCTTTATTCTGCTTCTGTTGCTCCCCTCAAACCTGGAAACTCTTAAGCAAATAAGTAATTTTATTTGTGTTACACAACTGACAAGTTGGACTCAATATCAGAACTCCTCTAGCAGAGGACAGCAGAGTGAGAGAAAAGCTTTATCCAGAAGACAGGCAAATTAAACTGCTATCTCCATTGTACAGACTAAGCAGCAGAGGGGGAGATTAGGCAAGTTGCCAGAGGTTGCACAAGAAAACATCTGTGATAGTGTAAAGACCAGAGATGCCTTGAACCCTGTTCAAAGCTGCAGATCATTGCTTTTCTTTAGCCTATAACTAAAAGGACAGGGAAAGCTTTACCTCGGTGAGTCTGGAAGGCAGGTTGTTTCTCAAGTGTTATCAACTTTGTGAATGGTTTTGTTCATCTGCCTGGTGAC